TGCGCAAAGTGGTGCAGGATTTTGTCCATCAACAGTATGAAAAAGCAGCTCAATCCAAATGGAGGAGTCCAGAAGACAACCAGCCCAGATGTGGGTCATGTGACTTTCATACAGTCCTCAACAGTTACTAGTCTACACCTAGAGCCCAAACATGACCAATGTTTTGATGGCAAAGGACCTCATTTGGGGTGGTTGGTGGTCCAAAATAGATGATACCTAACCACTGGCATCCACCGGCAGACTGGCTTTGCATTTTGGTCTCTTTCTACCACCTGTGGCTTTCCTTTTCGAGAGGTGGCACTACTCAATTGGGGTAGAGGTAGTATTGCACACGAACCCCAGAACATGCAGGTGATGCAACTGCTACAACACACCGATTTAGATACAGGTGTCAGGTGTATGGAAGGCAAATGTCTCCATGCTGGTCTTTAGACACAGGCACCTTGAGAAAAATTTGCGGCACGTGCTCCGGGCACACTCCCACCAATCCAGTTCCATAAGATAGTCAGATAGTCATGATGTTCCATCCCTATCATTCAAGGGATGATCGTCTCTCGATCACTATGGGTGTTTCCACCAATGGATGGCCCAACTCCTTCGCGTTTGCGCGCGTGCTCGCGCCCGTTGGAAACCAACGCGTTTGGGTTCGGCCTGAGGCTCTGGGACTCTAAGCCTTTCAGGTTCGTCACGGGGAACGAGGTCCTGAGAGTTCGACCAACGACGCAAGAGACGGTGGACGTTTTTTTCCCGAACAGGAAATCTCATGACGGTGGACTCCAGGGACTGTGAAGGTACTTGTGATATCTTGTGATGGTATGTAGGGAATATAGTAATATGATATGATACAACATACATATATACATTGCATTGTATACCTAATATATAATATATATATATATATAAATGTTGTTTTATATCTGTGTGTGAGATTGTGTGTGTGTATTTTGTATTGTGGTGTAGCTTGTATGTTCTAGTGACCTTCAGTGAGAAACCCCAAGCAGAAGAAGTTCTGCCACTTCCAGTTTCATCCTTCCCACCCCCCCTCTCACAGCCTCTCACCATTCCCCCATCTTCACCCTTTCAAAGAGCCCTCCTTCCATCTCCTTCCCACATCCTCACCACTCGTTCTTCCTCCTTTCATCTCATGTCTCCCAACCCTCCCCCCCAACAAACGTCACGTCCCTTCACCCCTCCACCACGTCTCCCGTCTCCCCAACACACGGAGAAACGCACGCGTGCGCGCGCTCGCGCGTGGGGGAAGTCGCTCTCCCCAGGCCGTCCTGAGGTCGAAGTGGCGCGTCTTGGGCCCATCCCACTCCGCCAGTGCCACGAACTCGAAGAGCACCGCCACCCGCTCCAGCTCCCCGAAGCACCGCTGCAGCGTCGCGCCCGAAGGCGCCCGGAAGCGCATCATCGCCTGGACGGGCACCGGGGAAGAGGGTGGGCCACAACGAGTGGTGGAACTTGGCCAAGAACGTGGTGGAGGATTAAATGGAGGACCAAATGGGTGGAATGCTGCTGAGTCAAGATCATGTGATCGTATTACATCATGATTACATCATATTACATCATGTTACATGATAACTTCCCCTCTCCGAGAAGCATTCCAAGGCGCCCCTCCCCAGTCATGTCATGGCCCCTTCGAGTTCGGGGAACCCCTTGTGGTGAAACATCCTTCATCACGTCTCTTTTCCAAAGCTGTAAGCCTTCAGGAACCAGGAGTTGTACTGGTTCCTGAAGGCATTCATGGTCAAAGATGGTCAATGTCTTCCTGGTTCCTGAATGCAACATTCATTGTCTTGGGGTTGCTTCAGGAACCAGGAAAACATTGACCATATTTCAAAGGGGATTCACCCATAGGGCAAGCATGGGAAAGTCAAACAAAGACCAGGTCGCCCAACAGACTGTGACTTCTGCACCGTGGAATTTCACCATCTAGAAGAGCGTTGGTGAATTCTGCACCCCCCCACTAAGTCGAACTAACGTCCAGGAGCCGTAACAAGAGGCTGTCACAAGATGTAACAAGCGGATCCTAAATAAGTGGTTTCTGGGCACCTGCGTGTGTTCATGGAGGGCGCTGGTTGTGAAGCCTTTTTCTTTCTGCCAGGACTCTCCAAGGTCTACCTGCGGAGATTGGGATCCCAGACGTGGTTTCATACAAACACACACAGGATCACACAGGTCACCTGCAAACAGACCATGGCAGCACGGCCCTCATGAGGTGTTTTCAATCTGATCCATCTGATCCATCAAGTTTCCACACCAGGATCTCGAACTTGCCCTGTGCAGCACTGAGTGCCAGACCTGGGGTTCTCCTGCCTTGGAGTTCAAACAGGCAAGTGGCAGCCGGGCTCGGGTTGAAAACAACTGCCTAAACAGAAATCCAAGCTTCCGCGAGTCATCGATGGAATGGAAAAATGAACGACCTCCAGCCCTGCAGGGAGGAAGAAGTGCATAAAATGAGAACAAGGGCCAGGCAGTGATCGCTTCGACCTGAAAATCACGTACTTGCCACTTTCTGGGTGAGACCAGCTCTGACCCTACCCTGTCGGTCCTCCAAGGGGGGAATAATAGCACTGCAGGACCGTCCGACAGCGAGAAAACTGCAAATGAAAGAGTCTATCACAAGCACAAACCGTAGAGCAATTGGGCCAAGAGTATCAAATAGTAGCTTAAGATCAGCTTCAAACGACCCAAACGACGGTGTCATTGCTGCTTGGCTACAGTCAACCAAAGGACTGCAGTCCTCCCAAATGGAAAAAAGAAACGCATCAAATGCCCTCCGAGCCACTTGCGGTTCGGGGTGTGCGAGCTCGAAGGCCTCCCTTCGAAGCTTCAAGGCCTCCTCCTGCTCTCGAGCCTTCGGCTGTTCGGCCGTCGGGAACGATGATGATGTCAGGGAGCATACAGTATACAATGCATTCAGTCTTTGGAGTCCATGGTTGTGGCCTCAATACCGCCTCATTGATACTTTTTCAGCTTTTCAAGCGCCCCTATACAGCCCCAATCAAACCCTAAGTGGTCCATCCTGCACAGTTCAAGGCTCCATCAAGGTCACCTGAACCACCCAAGGTCGCTGGTTCTGATACCCGAATCCACTGGAAGAGCATCGGTTCAATCCCCAACTTGAATCAAATTGACCCATGAAAAACAGTTGTTGCTTTTCTATTGGCACGCAGGGGTCTCTGCCATGGAACTTCATGTAGTTTTGGAGCGCTTCAAGCTCCACGACGATCACCAAACATGAGCATCCTGCCATGGGTCTTGTGCCAGTGCAAGGAGGTGTCAGCTCCTGGCCATTGTCCACCCATGTTCCCATGGGTATCCCCATATGGAAGAAGGACCATCAACCAAAACCCGTTGGTTGGAGGTCCAACCCGTGCCTGCGCCGCCTCCTCCTCTTGACGTTTCGCCTGCTCCATGGCCGCTTGTTGCTCCCGTTCGGCCTGACCGAGTGCATACGTGAAGCGGAGCGGTGTGGACTCCAGGATTGATGGTTGCTAGGGAATCTGTGATCGATCTTTCTTTGGATGGCCGGTACGGCTAATCTGCTGGGTCATTTCATGGGGCATCGCAGCTGGTACGGCTAGCGTACCTTCTCAGCCTCTTCGATGCGTCGAAGCTCATCTTGCCGAAGGCTCTCCTGGACCACTGGGATGGGGTGGACACACAGGAATCTATCCGTGCTTATCCCATCTCACCTCAACAAGTGCAGTTCTGTTGTTATTTTGCATGACTCCTTTAAGGACCTACTTGTATAAATTTGTACACTGTGCAAACTCTATGACTGATAACGATATCACTATGAAAGAATCTAATTAAGAGCCAAGCATGGTCGAAGTTAGGAACAAGTGACAGATTCTTCAAAGAGACCCTTCAAATTGCACTTCAACCTCAGAACATCTCAGAACTCTTCCCCAAACCCGGAACAGGCCTCCAAAAAGCATCTTCCAATTCTCCTCACCTCACCCCACTCTCCCCAAGACAGAACTCTCCTCGTACTCCGCGTTCTGCGTGGCGATGATCTGCCGATCTTCCTCTCTCCGCATCGCCGCCTCCACTGCTGCGACCTTCGGTGTTGGGCCGTGTGCGAGCGTTTTTCAGCAAGCCACACGTGGCTTCATGGGAGAGGCAATAGATGACTATATAGGACCAAAATGACCTACTAGGTGTTTAATAGGTGCTTTTTTGGGCTGTCGTCTTGGGAATGAAGGTCGGTCAGATCTGCCACCCCATGGAGTGTTCGGGAATCTCGTGTAGTGGCTGACCTGGCTGGTCGCTGAGTCTTAAGAAATTCTCGATTGCCTCCCTGTGCATCGTGAGAAACGAATTTTTGAGGGGTTGTTTGGGGGTGTTTGGGGTTGTTCGGGGATGTTGGGGGCTGAATCCGTCATATCAGATCTGATTGAGAGTAAAACATGTACAGTATATATATTACACTGAGAGGCACCTCAAGGGCTGCAAATGAACAACAGGGTGCATGCTCTGCCACTCCCTGGCATCTTTGGGCGGTAGCATTTTGATCTTGAATTGACCGTAGTTTCAGGGGGAGTTCCTGATAATAAGGTCCCACGCTCCTCAAGGCGTTGCCTCACTGAGCTCCAAGCTGCCTCCAACTCTGCTGCATCCCCCGCACGGGACTGGCAAGTTTGGTCAACGAAGCTTGCCACAACAAGTGGAGGCGTCAAAAAGTGGATTGAGAGAGTCACCAGGGCCCCATTAGCTAAGCTATGTTAAGCTAGGTGATGCCAGGTGATCAGCTAAGCTAAGTGGTTTCAGAGTATATAGATCGCAACAGGGCCCCCAAGTTGGGCGGTCTAGTCGTGGACCCCATCTGTCTAAAACGTCTAAAACCGTGCCAGTGCCATTTCTCACCTCTGAAACCACTGTAAGAATCAGTTCACACGACCACACCATGCGACCTTGCCTCTTTTGCTATCTCTTTGTGAGTTTCGATGGTTCATCAACCTTTGGAGCCAAAATTAAAAACGCCTTGTCAATGACACGCGTGATGCCCCCCAAAACCAGTGGCACAACAACGCCTGAAGCAACAACGCCTGGCTTCTTTTGAAGCAACGCCTCCCCGACCCGACGGAGGCATTGAAGAACCACTTCAGGACGTACCGCCCCCCAACGTCGTCACGCGCGAGTCGCGAGTCGCGAGACAAGGCCCTGACCGCAGCTGCCAGAAACCTCGGTGTGTGGGAAGATGGTGTGGGAATCGGCGGGACGGATTTGTTCATGCGATTTGGAGGCATCCTGAAGAATGAAGACGTGGTTAGGCATTTTCATGCATTTTCTGACTCCTTCAGCTTCCCTGGAAAATGCACGTTCACCCTTTTCATCCTTTTTCCACCCTCTTCTTGATACTCTGGGGGAAGTCCCCAATGGGCAGCTGCTCCGACTTCCTGAGTGCGGAATCCCCTTCTCCGCCGAGTTCCCCCTCTCCGGACCGCCCAGCCGAGCCCGTCCGACGGCCTCCGTCCGTCCCTCGGCGCCCCGAGCTCGGCCAGTGGCTCGCAGAGCTCCGCGACGTTGCCCACCTGAGACGGGTCGGAGGTCGTTGGTGGCACCAGAGGCTTGCGATGAAAAGACCTTTGATCCCCTGCCAAAGTCTCCTGCCAAACTCTGAAACAAGTGACAGGAAATATGCACAGAACGTGCCAGAGGTGGGCCCACCCTTGATGGCCCACCCTGGCACAGATTCATTGGGCCCAACGGTTCCTGCACTCACAGCATCTGGCAAAATCTGGTGGCCAGTGGCCAATATGATTTAATATATATATATATATATCAAATTTCATGGACACCAAAACCACCAACATCCACCAACAAAAACATCTGTTGGCCCAGTTTCTTCGCCTCATGTTCCTACAATACTCACACCTGCCACCGCCTTTCTTCCATGAAGAGCTTTATATAACCTTTACAATTAAACTATATTAAACTGCTAGTTAAACTGCTGACACTGTCACGCAGGTCAAGACATTCGACAACAGCTCACTCCATCAACTTCTCTGCAAGCCTCTGCGTATTTGGTGTTCAGCGCAGATGCCAGGTCTTCGAAGAACTTCGTCAAAAGACCCTGCCTCTCCTTGCAGCGCGCTGCTTGGAAACGAAAGGAACCTCTGTTGAGTGAATCAGTGAATCAACTCTGGCCCATCATCATTGATGCCGGTCAGTTGCAGTGGAAATGACCATGATGTAGACTCTCGATCGATTTTCAGAAAAGCTGACATGGATGCGACATGGATTGTAAGACCTCTTCATGCGGTGGGGGTGGTTCATCAAGAGTCCACATGACATTTCCCATGTCCAAACGGTTGACGCTTGTGCCGGGCAGGTCCGCGGTGCCTGGAGGAAGTTGTCATCAAAACGCCCCGACACCAGGGAGCGAAACGTGGCCTGGCGCAGCGCGTGGAACACGAAGCGAACGCGACGCCTCGAGGCAATCCGCATCGAGTGCGTGCGGGTCTCCGACTGGCGCGGTGGCGGTGGCGGAGGCCTTGGGAGGCAGCCGTGGTAGGGCGACGTCTTGGAGCTCCGGCATCTGGACCAAACGAGTGCGCAGCTGGTCCACCTGACGGCAGTCTATGCGGCGCCCGACGGGGGTGGGGGATGGCCTGACATGTCCTTCGGCGGTCTGGAGGATGGACCAACAAACACCTGATGGTGCCGAAGGGAATGGATTCACACTACTGTATGGTGTTGAATTTTGGAGCCTCGTCCGTCGAAGGGGGGAACCAGCTGCACTCTCATATCACCAACTGCGCTCTCTCGCACTCGGCCTGTGAGAATCGGAAGATCAGGCCCTGTGGGGGACCACCACAGCTGGACCTCGGTCCCCAGCCCCCCTGCCTTAAACTGACTACTGGTAACAAGAAACTACTAGGGGCTCCTGGGATCGCTACAACAAGAAGCTACTAGAAACACGCGGAAACGGCGGCTGAGCTCGCCGGCTGTGCACGGTACTTGGTGTGCTGTCGGGGGCCCTGACCCGCCTTGGAGGGCCATCGTGAAAGCGAGAAGGAGCGGGGTCCACGGGTTGGATTTGAGGCCGACCATGTGCAGCCACCGATTCGGATAACCAGCATGTCCGCCGCTTCTCCATCTGAAGCCGGAGAAAAGAAACATGATCGAGTTGAAATCATCGGTCTCATACCGTCTTCCAACTACGCCGCGGAAGTCACGGCATAGCAGGAAAAAACTTGTGTTCCCCAATGGATACGCTTCAAAAATAGAAAACCGCCATGACTTCAACATGATTGTAAAAGGCGGACATGTTGCACAGTTGGCGGATCTAGGCGTCATCTTGTGCAAACCTGTTTTTAATTGAACATCTGCCCTGAATTGCTGTCGGTTTCGCTCCCACTTCCAAGCGGACGCTGAAGTGTTCCACAACGACGCAGTGCCACCTGTTCGCCAATGGGTTGCACATGTCACGGGCAACATTTCGTGGTTTGCACGAACTAGGTTTCAACCGGATTTTGGGTTGGAGGACCAGAAACACATTGTCGCTTCTGAAATCTTCTGGGTGTATAGCTAAATGAATGCAAATGATGAACATAAATCGTTTTCTTCGTGCGGTTGTGCAGTTCTGTGTTATATTCTTTTCGCAAGTTCAAGTGCATGTCAACAGACGGGGCGCCAGAGGACCGCAAGCTCCGAGAGATGCGACTTCTTTTGGTTCACAACAGGAACGCACACAGCACAGCGCCACACCAGAATTCTGCGCCACGAAACAGGACCACAAGGACCTGGAACTTTGGATGTTGGGGAGCGAAGGTGTGGCAGAAAATTCATGGCGTTGAACCATTTCCAGGCACGTACCTTCTCAGCTTCGGTACGACTGGACCCTCCAGGCACCTACATAAGAGTGTCGAACACATCACCCTCTGAGAAGGTACGACTGGATCCCTAGGGGTTTGTTGGGATATTAGAATGCCGTCCGTGCCCTGCGTCTTGGCGGTCTCCGTTTTGTCCCGGCCGAACCCTCCCGGAGCTTCCGCCATGACGGAAGCGAGCGGCGGACGGCCGCGGGAAGCGATCGGCGATCGGCAATCAAAAGGATGTTCTGCAAAAAAACGTGACAAAGTGATTGATGACAACAAGGTGCTACGGGATGCTTGAAACTGCGGCAAATGTACGCGGCTGCATGTGAATGCAATTAAAACTTGCCTGGTGGATATGTGGTGGGCGAGGCATACTGTTCTTGCACGCTGCAGCCGAAGATCACATCAATAAGCAAATAAAGAGCGTCGCATCAAAGATGTGTGGTTCTCCAGTAGTTCTTTCCACCACCCCCCTCCCTCACACAGCCATGGCTGAGCGGAGCCCAGGAAAGTAGAGGAACATGGTCCAAACACAATCTGACATGGCGAATGGGACACTTGGAGGACCTGCACCTTGCCAGGAGATCTGGTTTGAAATTACCTCAGTGGATCACCAAGCAGTCCTCGAAGTGCAACTCCAACTCCAAGGCGGAAAGCGTGCCATCAGGAGCAGGTGGCCCCACCTCTAAGCCGCAAGCAAGCACTCCGGACTGGAATGAACTGGAAACCCTCGGGCTGTAAAATATTATACGAGCGTGTGCCTCCAACCTACGGGCGATGGCCTCCAACCTAAGAGTGATGGCCTCCAACCTGAGAACGACGGCCTCCAACCTGAGAACGA